GGCGAGCCCCTGAGCCCCTCGCAGGAAGCCACCCTTCCACTCCCAGGCGCAGCCCACCCCACACCCTTGGGCCACACTCCCCCTACCCTGAGGATGGGGTGCCAAGAACAACCAGACAATCCAGTGGGAGTTGGGCTGGGTACCCAGCACGAGGCATAAGCCTCCCTGCCAATCTCAAGCTCCGAGGGGGGGTGAGGGTAGAGCTGAAGGCCTTGTCAACTTTTCTCCAGCCGCCAACAGGTTAAGTTCAGTTCCGTGACGTCCGGGCAGTTTCACAATGCCAGCTCTCTCGGAGCTGCCCTGCAAGGTGCCGCTGCCAAGCGGCCAGAGGCTGCAGGAGAGCAACACCTAGGCTCCCGGGGTGGGGCTCTAAGGTTGCAATGGGAGAGGGGCCTTGGGGGAGCTGGCGTGACCCCCAGTTGTCAGGACAGCTGCAGGGTCACAGGCAGGCAATCTTCTGGTAGTTCCCCCAAAACACAAGCCTATCCTTCCTCAGCCCTGGCCCTGCCCCACCCCCACCCCCAAGCTGCAGCAACCGCCAAGGACATTAGTTAGAGAAGCCCTGGCGGCTGCCTGCCTGTTCAGGCCGGTTGGGGGGGAGGGCTCCCACCAACCCCATCCTCCCCTCCCCCTCCCTGCATCGCCCACTTTCCCACTCCCTTACGTGGTCACTGCTTGGGGCATGCTCACCTGTTCTGGAAGGCGATCAGCAGCCGGGGGTCCAGGATGTTCTCCTCGGGTTCCCACGTGTTATATCTTGCAAGGGAAAAGGGAGGGGGACAGGAGTAGAAAAAAAAAACTGAGCCAGCTTTGCGGCCTCCAGGTGGGGAATGACATAAGGCCCTGCTCTGTCTCCGTGAACGAAAGCTGTTCAGCTGCGGACGTGGAGGGTGGAGGGTAGATTTCTACAGGCCTGCCACGGCCCCTGATACGCACACCCCCAAGTCATATTAAACACCAGGGCAGGAAGACAGGGGAGGGGTAAGAAGAACGAAACTAGCAGTTTATTTTGCAGTTGTCAAGAATTTTAAGCATGTTATCCCGACATATTCCAAAGCCACTTTGCTCACTAGGAACCCTGTGAGCAAAGCAGCAAAATGCCAAGCGCAGCCCCCTTCCTCCTCTCCCTAGCCCCCAGTCTAGGCAGGGCTTCAGCGGCTTTCCATTTGACCCCTAATCCGATAACCGACAGGCAAGCACCCCCCTCACACCCTCTCCCAGCCCAGGAGCCCGCTGTCACGGGCAAGCAAACCCCAAATACTCAGCAACACAAAAATATGCTGCTTTCTCTGTGTGTGAGTGTGTGTGCGTGTGCCTGCGCGTCTGTCTCCATCCGGTGCCTTCGCATTTCAAAAAAAAAAAAAAATCCCCACCAAAGGCTCCGCAGTGACAGTTCCCAACATTTTCTGCCTTTTTCCTTCCCCTCCCTGCACCACTAGGAGGGAGGAGGCATACAATTGCATTTTCGTCGCTTTTTAATTTTTTTTTTTTTGGTTTTGCAATATGGAGCCGTTCGGTGGAGGGAAAGGGGAAAGGAGCCATTTTCTGCTGCACATCAGTCAGTGCCTGCGCCCTCCCTCCCTCCGCCGGCCTCCCGGGCTCGGCCCCGCGTCTCTCCAGCTCCTCCGGCTCCTTTTAGTGCATAAATTAGTGATGGCATTTCCCGGAGAGCGGAGCACAACACAGGGCGCCGGGCTCGGGCTCGGCGGCTCGGCTTCCCCAGTGCCTGCCACCGACTTCCCCACCCCCTCCTCCCTCCACCCCACCTCCACC